CCGTCGAACCCTATACACATTATTGTGACTTATATATTAACCATACTTATCTACAATAATCACTTTTCGATTAGTTAGTAAGTAATTATGGATCACTAAATATTGTGAGAGAATGGTAAGTATCTTTTCATTCTTAAATAGAGTCACGGGTTTGAGATCTGAGAAGATAATCATCTTTAGTAGATAGAGTTTATATTACCCCGAAATAGGACATTTTAACAAAAAAATCGAATTAATTGAACCTTTAAACAAATATTAAACGCCAAGTTAGAAATCAAAAAGTAAAAGTCATAAAAATTTCCACTTGTTTCATACCTATCTATTTGACATTGTAGTAATTAATCAAGCTTTCAAGTTGTGAGGATAGTATAAAGAGAGCACTTGTTAAAATATATATAACTTTTTATCTTCAATACTTCTCAACTAACTCCACGATTGCTTACTCCAAGTTGAGAAATTAATGTATTATCATACTATATTATATGACCTTTCACAAGTCATGGCTAAATTAGCTTACATATGATTCCGTAATTCTTATTTGTTTAGTAAAAAAATAAATAAAGGTACCTACTTTATCACCGTCCATTGTGTCCAAAAAAAAATATTTTAAAAAAAAATAAACTCAAAGTAGAAAAAAAAAAACCATAATATAGAAAAAAACAAGAAACACTAGGGAGTGGTGGCACTTGAATTTGGTTTTGGTTCAACTTTTATCAAAAAACAAAAATAGTTTTTGACAAAAAAAAGTTAGGTATTTTCATTTATTTATTTATTTATTTATTTGAAAAATATATGGTCATCTGACTTTCGAAAAATATTTTTTTCTTTCGAGCCAAAAGACTTTTGTTATTTTAATTCAAACACTCCATCGATGTGTTCCGTTTATATGATTTACTTTCTTTTTTAATTAATCTTAAAAAAGAATAAGTCATTTCTAAGTAAGAATTTAATTCTAAAATGTATATGTTATTCTTAATGAAATGATATTTAGAGTCTGTTAGGAATTCTAAAAATATTTTTAAAAAAAAATTTAGATGTTTGGCAAACCAATAAATGATGCTGTTTCTGATTTTGGCTACCTGATTAAGGTTCCCTGACAGAGTTTCTGAAGTTGCAGAAACTCTCATGCTGAATCGCTTGGTTGGGAATAGCCATCACAGATAGCTTGCTGACTTGGCATTCTCTTTGGGTTAGAGGTTCTTTCTCCCTAGATGTAGTGTTCTAATTTCAGAAGTTCTGTACAATCCTTTTACTTAATTGAAAGGAGTTTTAGTTTGGTTAATTTTATGTCCCTAAACTTATAAGTCTGCATCACTATAACTCAATAAAAAGCATAAGGGTGGTCATGAAACTTTTGAGTAAAAAAAAAAAAAAACTGGCAATTGCACCTAATAAGAAAACTAGCTGGCTGTTGCGCTTTATTAGGAAAATTAACCTAAAATTGATTCTAAATCCCACGATTCAAGCATAAGTGATTGGCATTCCATCATGCCGCCATTGCAGTCCAAATCGTGAAGAATTCAAATTACTCGACAAAATTGGCAAATACAATATGAATAAATTGATTTTGTTTAGAGATTCAAGAATTTAGGTAAGTGAGATGAGTTATGAAGGCTACAAAAGTGATGAAATTGTTGTTGGACAATCGATTTCATTTATGAATCTCAAAGCCACCATTTCAGTTGAGTTGGAGATCAATGAGATTAGGTAAAACTTGGAAATCAGATACATCATAGAAGGTAATAACTCATCTCCATTGAAAATTAAGAACGACATGGGTGTAAAACTGTATTAAAGATGAAAAAAACGAGTCTGAATTTGCAATATATAAGTCAAGGATACATTGCAAATTTTGATGTATCAAACATCTGAAAATGTATCATAGTACTAAATTTTCTGATCATACTAATACATTCAATTGCTCACTTGCTTCTGTAGTAACATGAATATTTTTCATCTGTGGATTGGACAACTGAAAAATCCTCCATTTCTTGTTGATTCTTGATAGTATCATGAATATTTACATATGTGGGTTAGAGTTCTGAAACATCCTCCATTTCTGTGGGTTAGAGTTCTAAAACATCCTCCATTTCTTGTTGATTCTTTATAGTATCATCAATCTGTATTTTTAGTTTTAGAACAAACAATTGTTAACAAATATATTAATGAGTACAGTTTAATTAGTAACTTGCAATGTATCTTATGTGTGTATCTGATATATTCTAGTAAATTTTATGTATCTGATACACACTGAATAATACATGTTTTGAATGATACACCAATAAACATTATTTTTGTATAATTTCACATAATTACAAAAACTCCACGCATGATACAAAAATGCCCACCAGTTGAACATGATACAAAAATTGTCCAACCTTAAACATGATACAAAGAAAGGAGTACAATTAACTTAGTAACTTGCCATTTATCTTATGTTTGTATCTGACACATTTTAGTAAACTTTTGTATATGATGCATGCTGAAAAAATACATGTTTGAATGATACACTATTGAACATTATTTTTGTATCAATAATTTCAGAATTTTTGACCCCCCTTTTTGGTGGTTTTAACAACCTTAGCTTCCCAGGTTGAAGAAGAAAAAAATTGATAACAAATGATGAGCCCGATCTCCAGTAATAGCACAAGTTTAGCTATCACATTTCGATCTGAACTGGCATCGATAACATGAACCCGATCTCTGGTAGCAGCATAGATTTGGTTGTTGCATTTCGATATGAACTGGCGTTGGTAGCCATTGACACAATACTATGATTGCACAAAAGATGGGATATGAGCAGTTGAAGTTTTGAGAGAAATTGTTTTGACAAGAAAGAGACTGATTTCAAATTTCAAACTAATGAAGCAATTAACTGAAAAGATCATGGAAATAAATTGGGAGAGATTTGTGGAGTGAAATCAGGAAGTGATAAATGTGGGTTTGGGGAGTGGGGAGTTATGTATCAAGAATTTTGATTTTGGGAGTAAAATAAGGGATTTTGGAAATTTTTAGAAATGATAGGGAATAATGGGAATTATGGAACATAAAGATGTGTATATAGGTAATTATCCTTTTATTTTTATATAATATTTTTTTATATTTTATCTAGGGGAGATAGGACTTTCATTGCCCATTGGTATTACAATATAGGTGCTTTTAATGCTGCCTTTAGCGGAAAACGGACTTAATGGACAAATAAGGGATAGGCAAGAATCTGTTCTTGAACTCTAGAGAACAGGCGGAAAGAGAAATATAGTAAATATCGTAAAGGCAGATGTTTGAGAGGATTTGAAAGAGCCGAGTCTGTAAAAGGGGAGTGTTTTCAATATGATTCTTTTCCTGTATTTGTTCGATGAGAAATGCGAGTTTGTTTTGTCCACCATTTCCTTAAGGAATCAGTCCCAAGAGCGGCTACGACTACGAGACTCTTACATTTATTTATTATTTTATTTATTATATCAGGTATTGTTTTGCCCAATTAGAAAAAAGATAACAACAATATTTTTGCAAGATTAGAAAAAAAGAAAAAAAAATAAAATTCAGTCCTCCAAAAAAGGTATAATATTGATTGAGAATTTGAATATGTATATTTTAATTTAATAAAAATAAAAATAAAATATATTTTTTGTAATAGGTAGTAAAAATAATTTCTCTCTATAAAATAATCTTAATACTGAAAGTAGAGTGATACTTGTCTTCTTTTTTTTTTTGTAATTTGACTCTAAAGCACTTTTAACAAATATTTGTCAAACAATTTACTTATGAAAAACAGTTTTCAAATGAATTAGTCAAACACAAATAGTTTTTTTTCAAAAGCACATTTATGAAAACTATTTTTAGAAAATGCTTCTGAAAATAAGCAGTTTTTAGCAGTAATGTCAAACAGACTCTTAATCGCACAAACATCATATGACTTCTTAACTTATTTTAGATCATCAATTTCAGGAGAAACTACATAATTAGACATACTCTACTACCATATATACTATTATTGCCTATAATTTTAAAATATTATGTATTTACCACTAATTAAGAGTTTTCGGCATATGTTGAGGAAGATACACGTAAATACATGTATTTTTATTACAAGATACACTTAAATAGGGAGAGAGGCAAGCGAGATTTGTTATATATGTATCACATATACATGTGAATCACACTGGATACACACTATATGCATGTATTTGTATGTATCTGGTGTGATTCACATGTATCTAGGATACAGATACATAGGAGGGTGGTGAGCGAGATGGAAGGAAGGCGAGCGAGATTTGTTATGTATTCCAGATACATGTGAATCCACTTGAATACAGTGTATCTAGAACAAATTATACCTAATTTTGACTCTATGTATCCCAAGATACATGCATCTGGACATATCGAAATCTAGTAAGATTTTTTTTTTTTTTTTTTAACACCAAAAGGGGTTGTTCATCATTTATGTCTCAAAAACACTGGAATGAGTTTCAAAGACTCCTTAAAAGAAAAATTAGGGAAAACTAACATATAATCTACCAAAAAGTTTCTTCAATAGACCATAAGATCATTGTAACTGTTCTCTTATTAGTATTTCCGTCCAAAACCTCCTGCACCGTGACCATATGTTGGGAGAGCTGCCACTGCTTGGGGCTCAGCGGCCTGCTTGACAACGCCTGGAAGGTCAGACATGCCGAGGGCTGAAATCTAGTAAGATTCATAATATTGCAAATTAAAATGTATCCAAAGAATTAACTCCTAAATTAGTGGGATTTATGTAAGTTTTCCTAAGTTTTAATAATATATTTTATTTTTAAAAAAGTTTATGTCAAGTCAAACTATATCGTATAAATTGAGACGGAGAAATTACTTCCCACTTTCAATTATTGGGAGTTGGGACCTACAATATGATGAATCAATGATTGCTATACTATTACTGATATTCCTTTGGGGCATTATATAAAGCTGACACACCATTACCACCCAACAAAGACTCAAAGAAGAACCATTTCTTTCTTCAATTCAACACATTGTCAATTTGCCGCATTTTAATTCATATTAGGTACTTCCCTCCGTACCCCATTTTTTGTCATAGCCATACAAACTCTTATAGTCGATCCCGACTTATTTGATACTAAGAAAAAAAATATTATTTTATTTATTATGATTCGTATGATGAACTCTGCACAAATGTGCAAACAAGTAAGATGGCGAAATTTGCTACAATTGCAAAATTTTCTTCGAAAGGACAAGATTGTGGTGGTCATGGGAGTCACCGGTGCCGGAAAATCAAAACTCTCTATAGACTTAGCCACTCAATTCAATGGAGAAATAATTAATTCCGATAAAATTCAAGTGTACAAAGGTCTTGATATCGCGACTAACAAAATAACAGAAGAAGAACGTTGCGGTGTACCACATCATTGCCTAGGGGTAATTGATCCTTACAAAGAATTCACCACAAAAAACTTTTGCAACATGGCTTCATTTACCGTTGACTCTATAACCAACCGCGGTAAACTTCCTATCATCGTTGGAGGGTCAAATTCATTCATCGAGGCATTTGTCCACAACAATAATTCATATAATTTTAGTACAAGGTACGATTTTTGTTTCCTATGGGTCGATGCATCAATGGACGTGCTAAATTCGTTCTTATACGAACGAGTTGATAAAATGGTGGATCAAGGAATGGTAGATGAGGTAAGACAAATGTTCAATCCAAAAAACATGGATTATACCAAAGGCATTCGTAAAGCCATTGGTGTCCCAGAATTTGACAGTTACTTTCGTGCTGAACTGTCAAATTCCGTGGACAGGCAAACTCGTGAGAGGATGCTAAAGGAAGCAATTACTGAAGTAAAGATCAATAATTGTATACTAGCAAGTAAACAATTTGACAAAATTTACCGATTAATTAACGTTAAAGGATGGAAAATACATCGATTAGATGCAACTGAAGTTTTCAAAAAACAGAGGATAGCAGAGGAAAAAGAGGCAGAGGAAATATGGAAGAATATGGTGATGGGACAGAGCAGAAAGATAGTGCATAAATTTTTATACGAAAATTATAGGAATTCAATGGTTTATAAAAGTGATGGGACAGACATTATGGCAGCAGCATCTCAGTATTAAAAAGCGAAAAAAAAAAATAGTTAATTGTAAAAAACACATCTTAACTATAACTTTTTCACAAGTTTTATATTCATGTACATACTTAAACTATCACTCATTTGTATTAAAACACACCTCGATGCTGAGCTGGCATACATGCGTCAGATCAGTATTGAGGTGTATTTTTAGTACAATGGTAGTGATAGTTTAGGTAGGTACATGAAACAGTAAAGAAAGTTGAAGTATGGAACTCGCGGTAAAAAAAGGATTTTGATGTATTTTTGACGATTAACTCAGAAAGAAAAAGAAGTTGTGTGCTTGCATTAATCTGAAGACTTTTTTTGTACAATAGTTGAGCATGATCACCAGTTTTGGGAGATAACATTTATATATGTCCACTACCAGCTAGCTATTTAGCAATCATATAGTTTATATTATTTTTCACTGACCACTATTGTAACTACATAAGTGTAACCCTTTTGCTCCAATAATAATTCACACATATAATAAAATAAATATTTATGAATGGTTGTGGAATGTTTGCAAGTAGTTCTTTTATGATTAAGAAATAATTAATTACTACTCCTTTCTATTTTAAATTACATGTCTTAATTTAATTGCATTGTTTGGATGAAATTCGAAAAGAACTTTTGAATCGTATGCTCTCAAACGGAAGGTGTGTATAACAAATTAAAAGTATGTTTTTGAATTTTGTAGTCGTACTATTCTTATAAGTTGGTATCATTTAACTTAACTTATTAGTAATATTAAGAGAGAAGTATTGAAAACACTCTTAAATTCGGTGCGGACTATTAGTTTTATTCCTAAACTATTGTCGGTCTTAAAAATACCATTTTACCTGACTAATGAAACTTAAATACACTCCGATTTTGCAACATGAGTGAAATACACTCCTAAATTCTCGCCAAATTTAGGAGTGCTTTCAACACTTATCTCGACTTTTTACTAAGAGTTGTCTCATGCTTCTACAAGAATTTGATATTGTTATGTCATGTGACAGATAAGAGGTGTATCTAAGTTTAGATAGTCAAGTAGAGTGATGTTTTAAAATTGGTAGTAGTTTGAAATTGAAACTAATAAATTACGCCAAGTTTAAGGATGTTTTCAATACTTCTTTCTAATAATAATAATAATAATAATAATAATAACAACATATCTATCACAAAAGGTGGAGGTGATAATTGCCTACTCTTAGGGTGTGTTTGGTATGAAGGAAAATGTTTTCCATGGAAAATGTTTTTCCTAGAAAATGTTTTCTTGGAAAACAAGTGGATTTTTAACTTATTTTTTCATGTTTGATTGATAAGTAGAAAATAATTTCTGAAAATATTTTTTAATGTTTGGTTGGTGAATGAAAATATTTCCAGAAAATATCTTCTATTTTTAGCTTGAGAAACTAGAAAATACTCTTTAGAAAAATAATTTCTGACCCGGTGGAGTAAAAATTGAAATTTTAAAAAGTTGAATTATTTAGAAAAAAAAATGATGAGGGTGGTGGTTTGGGGATGGCTGGGATAGGGGTGGCGTAAAAATCAAAATTTTTAAAATTTGAAATATTTTTCAAAAATAAATTTTAATTTTTTTTTAACGGGGGAGGGGAGTGGCAGCAGGGGGTAAGGGTTGGGGTGGCATAAGAAATGAAAATTTTTAAAATTTTTGAACTATTTTTTTAAAAAAAAATAATTGACGGGGTAGCTTGGGTGGGGCTGGCCGGTGTGTGTGTGTTTGGGGTGGGGGGGGGGGGGGAGGGGATGGCGTAAAAAATGATTTTTTTTTAATATGAAATATTTTTCAAAAACAATTTTTTAAAAAAAAAAATTGACGGAGGGTGGCCTGGGTGTGGGGTGGCGGGGGGAGGGGGTAGGGGATGACATAAAAATGATTTTTTTTTTAAATTTGAAATATTTTTCAAAAACAATTTTTTTGTGGGGGGGGGGGGGGGGGGGGTAGGAATGGTAGGTGTTGGGTGATGGGAAGGATCGGGTATGGGATAGGATAAGAAAAATATATATTGAAGGATAAAATAGAATTTTGAAAAATGTTTTCCTTAATTTTTGAAGGGAAGTCATTTTCCTTAAATTTGAGGAAAATGAGTTGATTTGGAAAACATTTTCCAAAACATTTAAGTCAACCAAACATGGGAAAATTGAAAAATATTTTCCAGAAAATGTATTCCTTCGTATCAAACACACCCTTAATGAATTATTTTTATAATCATACAAATATTACAATATGCTTAAGATTAGAGTTTCAAAAAATTATTTTTTATTAAATGTTATATCTAGTTAAATAATATCACATAAATTAAAACAACAGAAGTATCTTGTACACACAACCCCACATATGATATGTAGCAGCTTTCATTTACAATTTGACATATCAATAGGATAAGATCCGATGCATTTTTATTAGTTGGATGGGATTGCCAGTATCAAGAAATCAAAAGGAAATATCTATTTTTTATTTTTATTTTGTGACTAGACATCATATTTAACATAATAATAGTTGCAGATATTTTGCTACACAATGGAAGTGCAGGTTCCATTATCACTATGCAATAGTATTGGAAAAATGAAACTATGGCTAGTAAATAGGAAATTTTCTTAGTTGAGTTGATTGACGATTTAAATTTTTGCTTGTTGAGGCCAATGATCCATTGAATCTAAGTATTTTTCAAAGATATATATATATATATATATATATATTACTATATAGAAGAGACTAGAGGAGACTAGAGCACACAACTGATCGTCAACATGTGTGCTTCAGCTCTGTGCTCTTCATCATATTTACTTGCTTAGCTTATTGGTTGCAGCATGACATTTCATGCACGAGGTCCCATGATCAAGCCCGGACAGCATCACATTTTTGTTTTTATTTTTATTTTTACATCAATCAATTTACTAATTTAATGTTAATTAAAAAGGAATATTCTGTATTACGTAAATATATTTCGAATTCATATTTTAGTTATTCCATCTTCTATCTTACATAAAAATATTTTTAATTTTTAAATGTCATCAAAAATATTTTGTTTTATATAGTTAAAAATATTATTATTATTATTATTATTATTATTATTATTATTATTTAAGAAAACCTTATTTACATAGGTAAATATGTATATTAAAAAAATCCAAATAAGTACCTTAATAAGTAATACGTTTAATTATTTTATTTCTCTATTTTTTATCTGTAAATTACTTTTTTATTTCTAATGTTAATATTAGATCATTAATATTATTAGTAAAAAAAATATATGTCATTGAATTTAAAAAATTAAAAGTACCACAAATAAAACTCTTCAAATTTGATTCATGCCACATAAATTGGGACAGAGAAAATAACATATTATTTACAAATTATGTCAATTTTATAAGTTATGATAACTAAAAACTTATTTTTTTAAGAAAATATATATTAAAAAATTGAGTGGCTCTCCAAATTTTATTTGTGCCACATAAATTACAACAAAATAAATGATATATGTTGGGCCCGTGTTGGCACAGGTGTACGTATCTAGTATATATATATATGGATAGTATAAATAATTAAATCGGTTACAGCATATTATTAATAGTTTTTTGGAGTATTATATGAAGTTATTTACATTGTTTTTTAGTAACTTAATTGTATAATACTTTTTAGGTAAAATACATAAACAAACACTAAAATTTGACCTTAACTAGCAAGTAAGTACTCTAACTTTGAGAGTGCACATTTAGACACCTCAACTTAATCTCAATCGATAACTAAACACCCTAACTCGTCTCTAGTGTATTTCGTGGACACCTGACGCAGATGTGAAACATAAATTTTGAAAGTGTCTAGATTATCATTTTGTAAATTAGAGAATTCAACTGACGCAATGAATAGCTAAGTTGAAATGTTTAAATGTGCATAGTAAAATTAAAGCGTTTAATTTCTAGTTAAGGCCAAGTTAAAATATATTATATATAATTTTTATACAACATAAATGGTTGGAAAGCATGAGGTTCTCCTTTTTCTTTTTTTATTGTAGTTACTCCCTTATGAATAGTATAAGCAATTTTGTTAAAGTAGGAATAAACTTTTAATCAATCAAATCAGTCATAATCAGCATGTAATTCCATATTATTACTATTATTTTGGTATACTATGATACTCTATTAGTCAAACACTACTTTATTCCACATGTATGCTATTTGTGGATAGTGAATTTAACAAGTTACACCATCCCATATAATTTAAGGTTTTAACAATCATCTTCTTAATTTTTTAAATATTTCTTATAAAGAGGAAAAGTCCCATCAAATTTAGTAGTGGCTATATTCATTTATTTATTTTGGTACTAGTAGTAGTAGTGGCTATATGGGCTATAGTATATATTGATCATTGGTACAATGAATAGAGTGTATATATATATATATTTGATTGACTTAGCACAAGCTCTTTTCTTAACATTTAGTACTTGCCCACCAGATGTAAAGCCAAAGATAATGGTGTCTTTTCAAGTTTTATTATATGTATTTCTTTTTGTTGCATATATACGCATGAATGAGACTTCTTTCCATTTTCGTCTTGTATTTATTTTCTCAAGTTCTTATCTGAATGAAAGACACGCGTCCCACCTCAGAATTAAAGAGTTAGATTTAATTAGCCAACTATGATTAGAACTATAATATTTTCATATATTTGCTCCCAAAAGATTTGGCAATCTCAAAATTCTAGCTATACTAATTAATAAACAATAAAAGGAAAAAAGATTTATGTACTTCTCTTTCTCATTTTTTTTTAATTGTTTACCAAAATAAGAAAATCAAAAAAAAGAGAGAACTATATAAATCTTTTATTATTATTATTTACCACAATTATATTTAATGTATTGTAGGTAGAATTTTGGGATTGTCAAATCTTTTACCTTATTGCAAAAGGAATTGGTAAAAACTAGCAATAAAGGGATTAATCAATTTGAGCCGAGTACGCTACATTAGGTAAATTTTCCCCTAAAACACTTAAGTTGAGACGGAGTAGGAAGTTACAAAGATTAGCACAAAATTCAATGTAGACGGTTACATAAGTTTTATTTCTTTTACTTCAACCAACACATTACAGGCTTTTTTTATCAAGCATTAAATGAAAATACTAGGTTACTCTACTTTCTTATACTTTTTTTCATTTCAAGAAGATGCATGTAGTTAATAAACGTAAAACACCACAAGTCAAGGTATGTTGAGATGGTGGATCATGGGTGAGGGGGTAGCATATGATTATCAACCCCCCTCGAACCGCACTCAAACGTAATATTGCAACCTGGATCAACCATGATTGTGTACTGGTGGAGAGGCCTAGACAGGAACAGAGGTAAACGAACCAGCAGATCACAAACACATTCGCTGTCGACTTGTTTCATCCACCTGCAGCAGTTCTCTTCTGCAGAACTTTCCTTATACTCGTGGTGATGATCATGCCTGCGTCTGTGTCTTCTTTCTGGAGGGCCGGGAGGAGGTGGTGGGGCAACTAGCAGAAAAGGGGATGGTGGAGATGGTGGAGACACCGGATTTAATGGAAGCAACGAGCATGCATGGTTCACTAGTGCAAATTGAGAGGGACAGAGAGGACTAGGTTGGTTAGTCACCCATTGGCTTCTTGCTCCACTTGGGTACACCACTAGGTATAATGCCACAATCAATACTATCTTCGGAATGTTATGTATGTCCATCTCCCTGATTGACAGAACGTTCTTCTACTGACACTAGAAAAAAAAACAGCTTTCAAGGTCTTTGAGTTACTAACAGCTAGCAAGTCAAGTACTTACCTCCTGCCAACAATCTATCTTTCAGTTTCACTTATATAGACTAAACCAGCATTCACAAGTTTTTCATGTTATTTTAGTTAGGTATTGATTTTCAGGTTTCATCAGCAAAAAAAATTGAAAAACAGATATGAGTGAATAGGTACGTACCTGCAGTAGAGCGTATTAGGTCAATGGTTGAGGAAGCCTCATTCTTTTTGTGTGAAGGGTGCTTTTATCTCAAGTAATGTTTACTTGAGAAACACAAAAATTGATTCAACTGAAACCTTCCTAACTAGTAAAAACATAAACAAATAAACAGAAGTATTAAAAATCCATCCTTTTGTTGTATATTTCCAGTACTCCTTATCTAGGACCTGTTGAGGAACGGGCCAGAATGATAAATGCCATAGAGAGATTTCACCACATCCAATGTTTCTGATAAGCTTATTATTCCAAAATTATTTGATCGTGTACAAAGTTATCAGCTAGATCATAGGATCAGATCTCTATTAATTATTAAGTAAAAGCATATAATATAAAGAATTAGACAGAACTATTACCTGTTAAAAAACAGAAAGACAAAGCAAACTACAAGATATATCATTCACAATGAGAAGGGAGGGCCTGGGTTTTATTTCTAAGAGTGCTCAAATACAATAAAAAATTCTATTACATTGGGAAATCAAGGAAGGGGGAAGGACGATAGCAAGAATTAAACTCACACTTACTGTGTGGAAGACTCCTCTAGTAGACTGTAAGCCTTAGTGATAAAGGAAGGGTTGAATAAACAAAAATGACTCTGTTTCCTGCACAGACGCAAACTGTGGCATGAGTACACAGGTCAGCATTATTGAGGTACAAATGTGAGACACCATCACTACACCCTTAATACATAAGCTTGGCTATAGTTGTAATGATGTAGCGGGATCAAGGAGTTTGCTATAAACATAATATACTTCCAATGCCAAGAGATAAATGCAGGTCCACTAAGTACAGCCCTCAACGATATCTTTATGAAATCAAATTATAAATTGGAACTCCTCAGGAAACTTTGAGATCGTAAAATATTAGTACTTTCAAGAAACTAGAAGCAAATACATGTGATAGTTTCTGGCAGTTATGACGATCCCAGGAAATCCAAATAGTGCACATTGTCAAAATTATACTAATTTGGTATGATCAATGATTTCATCGCCTCATATAATATCTCCAGTTCCACGATCCTGGCATCACCATCTCTCATTATGCACTTGGTTGCCTCGTCCATAAGCCATCTTATATTTGTAAATTGGCAACAGAATGCCATAATCCATATGGCACCACTCTAATTTACTGTGAATTCTTCATCCTCAATGCTCAATTCTCCCTTCCAATGCAGTCATCGACATTGAATTGAAGATGCCTGCAAGAGGAAAATGCATTCAATATGTTTTTTTCTGAATAATACTGAAACTTCTAATTTGTTGCATTAAGACCAAATCAAATCTCTGGCTACACACTGGATCTTCCTTCCTTCATGCTGGAATTTGTCCTGTTGGTGACCCCAACCGGCATTGGAGCATTCTTTTTTGATGTGGAGACAGAGAATCTCACAGTTCAGAAGCTATGTTAGGTTTCATATGTGCTCTCAACTGTTTGCAAGTTGCAACTATTCACTGAACCATGAATGATGAACCAAATGAAAGTAACAATTGCTAGAGGGCTTTTAGGACAAATATCCAGCTCCATCTGCCATATTTTGGTGGGATAGATTTGTCACTTATTGAATATCGGCAGACCAGGAGGCAGGAAGGAAACTTGCTAAAATCAGAAAGTCCAGAAATGATTATTGGCTTCGTAGTAAATGGAGGATAGCTTATCAACAAGAAAAAGGAAAAAGGACGTAAGTTGAAGATATGGCAGTATTATCCTCCATCATAGGGCATAAGGAGAGAGATGGTTAAGTTCTCATCATTTCATCCCAAACATAATATCCATAGCAACTCGTGCAGCTCTAAAGATAATGGATGGGAAACAAACAAGCTTAAAAATGAGAGATGTGAGGGTAAGGAAGTGGAGAGAAAGAAAGAGATGCATGCCAAAGAAGGTTTATAAAATGTAAGACTCCAGTCACAGTTGGTCTCAAACCATGTTGAATAGTTGTCAGCTTGAAGAAAAAGAGAAGATTGTCAGGTCAAACATAGATTCCCATACGAAGCAATTAATTTTCAAACTGAGAATGTCGATACAAATTTGTGAAGCTGTGCTTCTCAACAAATTGTCCCGAAAATTTGAAAAGATGCAGTTGCTTAGCAACACAGTGTTTACTAGATCATATTCATTTTGATAATATAACTGAAAATGAGCAGTGGTACATTTCCCAGAACTCTCTGCTTTGGGAATCAGCAGTTACCATTATAACAAGAGTTTGCATAAGCGTGTGGTAAAACCCAGATCCTGAGGCAAGTATAATTTTGCGGAGAAAGAATGACTTGATATAAACAACTGAATCATATGCAAGGCATCCTTTGGCTTCTTTTATAAAAAAGAGTCCTCTTTGAATTGTAGCATCTTCAAAATGAAAATACCCTCACAGAAACCCAGGAAATTATATCGGGGTTTGGCTTGCAAAACTACATACTAGGCCTCCTTTTCTATCATCACTGGCAATTATACATACACCCAGCCTGCCTTTCAAGATGACGTTAGCAATCAAATCACTGCATCTTCCTCCTCTTCACATTTGTGATAATCTAGATCATTATTGCTGACTGCCATCATTTCCATGTCCTTCTGAACCATCTCTCTCTGCAATCTCAAGAGCTCATCTTTCTGTTTGAGGCCCTCAGCAAGTAACTCAAGAAATCTGTCTTTAATCTCAAGAAGTGGGTCTCGATCTATCAGCTCACCATCCTTGTATGCTTCCCTAAGCATTGCAGTTTTAATCCCACACTTCAACGAAGTATAGAATATCCCCGAATGCCTAGTAAATACATTTGAGAATGCATTTGAGAACCTATACTCATCACTAAATTTGCCTAAAATGGGAATGGGAACCCTCTTATAAAGAGAAAGCGATAGCAGCTCGTGGAAAACCCCGACATTCCTCTTCTCCATCTCTCGTGAAGATTGGTCCAAATGCAATACATCATCATATGGTGATACATAAGGGAGCTCCATCCAATCTCGAATCCACTCTCTTACTTCCTTCCTAATGAAAAAACCTGGTGGAAGTTTCCAGTTAAATGCTGGCCTAGTTCTGATTCCTGTTAACCTTGATTCTTCCTCAGCTCTTAGCTCAATCACCGACTTCGCAAACTCTGGGTTCCATTTAACCAATTGCAAAAATGATTTCCCCTCCCCAGGTTCACCAATTAAGTTAAAATATTCCGGATATTTTGGCACTAAATTTACTAAAAGATCATTCGGGAACCCGAATTCCCTCTTCACCTGTACCAATTTATCTGCACTTACAACCTTATCCTTAGACATCATCAAAAGTTTGCATAATTTAGAAACCAATAAAGATTCATTATTAACAAAAATCCTACTCTCCTCTTCTAAGAATTGTCTTAGTCTTTCACTGGGTCGAACAAATGAGACCGGTTCTGATTTGGGTCTGACTCGATCCAGATATAAATCAAACAAACCGGGGTTCCAATCAAGAAAAGTTTTGATTTTTACTTGCAACCCCAATCTTTCACGACGTTTCTCTAAATAGTGAAGAGGGATTACCTGACCCGGCTCGTTTAGCACTTCCTTGACAACTCTTGCACACTGCTTCCACTTCTTGTCGTTTTCAATTGCTTGGTCTAGCTTTGGGTCCTTCCGCCATGCCACTTTCAGGCTTGAAATTGATGCTTTGAATTGCATGAAAAACCCATACTCATGGGGTTTCCGGTTAGTGCTTCTGAGTGAATGTACAAGCCAATTACTGAATTGCATTTCTGGGTTTACGGTATTTTGGTACAATCGAAGAACAGAAATGTGAAGGATTATGGATTCTAGGGTTTGGGGTTTTTGACGTGATTTCGGGACGACCCGAAAAATTCCTACTGGAACGGGTTTGGTTTGGGGCTTGGGGTCATACAAATACAATGTGTTTTTTTTGGAGAAAATTACGCGAATAAGCAAACGTATGCTAGTTAATTAACTAACATAGCAATAATTTGAATTAATTATGATTCACAACTTAATTTTAGCTATATTTTCGTCGCCTCTCTCCTCTTTTATACATATACAAATACAAATTATACATATAAATATACAATTATATGATAGATATACAAATATAATTAGCCTCTCTCCACTCTCTGCCCTCTATCGCTCGCCTCTCTCCTCCCTCTCCCAATCTAGCTCATCTTTCTCCTCTCTCTCTCTCAATCTCGCTCGCCAGATATACAAATACATATGTATACCAATTACATATATACAATTTATCTGACAAATATACATATACAGTTCGCCTCTCTCCCTTCTCTGCCCTCTCTCGTTGTCCCTCTCCTCCCTCTCCCAATCTCGCTCTCCTCTCTCCTCCTTCTCTCAATTTTGTTTGCCAGATATACAAATACATATGTATACCAATTACATATATACAATTATTTTGATAGATATACATATACAATTAGACAAATATACATATACAATTCGCATCTCTCCACTATTTGTCCTCTCTCGCTCACCTCTCCCCTCCCTCTCCCAATCTTGCTCGCCTCTCTCCTCCCTATAACATGTAACTACGAATCGTAATTAGCAAATTATAGCTATGAAGTATTATTAGGCTATTTTTGAGTGGCTATATGTAAAATTTCTCTTTTTTAATGTTGATGTGTGACCGTAAGGGGGTGTCAGTGATAGTTTCGGAAGATTATTTTATAAAATTTATATTATATTAATTTTTTAATTATTAAATTTTACAAAAATTAGTTCTTTTTAAAATATTTTCTTATTTTGTTTTTTTTTATCTGTAGGATTCGATTGATTTTTTATTTTTCTTTTAAAATATTTTACACAAGATTTATAAGTTCAAGTTAGAAAATGATATAATACTTATTTTCGTAGATTGTTTTACAATGATAATCAATTGACAATGAAAGACGACAAAAATAGAATTGTATTTTATTATTTTATACTAATAATATGAAATAAAGTTAAGCGAAATCAGAAAATTTTTAGATAATATAGGGGAAAAACGAGTTTAATTAAGATGAGATTCAAGAATTTAGTCTATTAAGATACCTATTTGTCCATAAAAAGTAGAAGTAATTTTTAGGAAAAAATGGCACGCATGTAATCTCTTTTTATTAATTGGCAACATTTAGCCCCTTTTAATTTTTATAAGAAAAAAAGGTTTTTTAAAATTAAAATTGGCATAATTTAGCCCACATTATTCCATGGGAAGTTA